AATCACAGAAGTAGACTTCAGCAAACTGAAATGGGAAGGGTTAAGAGGGTGGCTGGGTATTGAGCATATTGGTGAAATCCTGTATAGAGGCAGGCCAAGTTGGTTTAGGCATATGAAGAGAAAGGATGACTAATAACTGTGTTAAGAGATACAGTCTCGTTCAAGATTCTTCGAACACTGCTGGAGACAGCTGGCAACTTAAGGCTGTTTACTATAGTACGTCATAAAAATTATGAATAAATGGAAAAGCGATCAGTGATTGGCTACTTACTTACCCATTGCTTAATTTACTGGTTGGGCTTTGTTGTTTCGTATTATATTATACTACGTACTATAGTAAACAAATGGCCTTGAGTTGTCAGCTGTCTCCAGCAGTGTTTGAAGAATCTTGAACGAGACTGTACATGAACCTAAAGGTGGAGGGGTGGAGAGCCAGGAGTAGACCAAGAATGACATGGAGAAAGGTTGCAAGAAGTGACATAGTTAGGAACTTGACACATAATAAGAGAGACCTGCAATAGGCCAATGCAGCAAGGTTACTGTGGCTGACACGCCACACAAGCGTGGAAAATGGCCGTAAAATAATGATGATGTTCTATACTGGTATTACATTAATTTGTTAAAGAAGAACTGACCGTCAGAAATGTTAAAATGTGGTACAGAACCAATGATGATAGATCAGTAATTCTTTTGATATGGCGATTATACCTTAAGACTGGACTACTGTTGTTAGGATCATTTGTATGATTAAAGTTCTTGGCATTTCTCTTATGTTCATAAATTTGTTGATACAAGTCCCTTAAACTTTCTACATAGAACAAGTTACAGTATTAGTCGATGTTTACATGGTATATAACACATACTGGTGTACTTTTTATTATTATCCTTGTGTTTAATAGTTAACAAAAGTTAGCAATGTCGTGTATTCATTCATAAGCAACACCGAGTCAGATTTCTTGCATATTTTCTTAAAACATCAGATTTTTTCACTGTAGGGAAGGGTAATGTATTTGCTAAAATGCTTAGAATGTTCAGGTCTGTCTCGCATTGCATCACAACCAGCCATGCAGTTTCTCAGTAACTTCTATGTCCCCCACTGCATGTATTTCCTTTTTATGTTTATTGTTTGTTGATAATAATTGTGTACACCAAAAATTTTCCATTAAAAACACATTTTGTAGTATTTTAAGACATTTTTAGCAAGGTTATTTTTTCATAGGAACATATTTCAGCTCGTATATGATGAGTGCATGGGAAAATATAATCCAACTTAAAAAAATCATTTTACACTGTACAGGTAGTTCTGCTATAACGCGATAGTAGTGTTCTTGTAAAACATCGTGTTATAGAAATTCGTGTAATAGAAATAACATGGCTTATGGAGAAAATAGGGTTAGGTGCAGATTACTCCAAATCGGAAAAAAATTTCGTAGTTAGCCTAACACAAAGGATAGCACAGTCTAAATAAATGTTACATTCATATCTAATAATGAAATCATACAGTAAATGTTACACTTTACCTTGAAAAAATATGAATATAACTTGATGGGGGATAAGGGTGATGTTGAGGCTGAGGAGTCATGAAACATCAAGCTTTTCTTCAAGTGTTATAGCCTTTCTTTTACGATCACCACCGGAAATGCGATCACCAGAGTGCTTCCCAGAGATATTCTTCTTTTCCATAGTCACAAAATTGGAGAAACAGTAATCAGAATTCACTGAGGACACTTAAAAACTTCACAAGTGTTTCAAACAAAGTGTGGAGTAAACAGAGCGCGCGGGTCTAAAACGCTATGTATTTTGTTTTTCTCTTATTTAAAATTTTACATTTTACATATACTGTACAGGTATACTGTATACATAAATATTACATAAATTATTTCTGCAATTCTTCACAAACAAAACACATAAATCAATTGAACATGTGATGTCGAACGTGAACTGTAAACACTGCATAACCCCGCACCAAGCCACAATGTACAGTACACTTTAAATGCTACTTATTTTGTTTTTCTCTCTTATTTAAAATTTTACAATTTACATATACTGTACAGGTATTTCTTCACAAACAAAACACATAAATCAATTGAACAAGTGATGTCGAACGTGAACTGTAAACATTGAGCCAAGCCACAACACTGTTCAGTACACTTTAACACTTTAAACGCTACGTATTTAGTTTTTCTCTTTTATTTAAATTTTTACGATTTACATATATATATATATATATATATATATATATATATATATATATATATATATATATATATATATATATATATATATATATATCATGTAAATCCACAATGAAAACGTGGATAAGATAAATCTTGATAAAATCACACGGGAAAATGGAAACAACGGAGCACCTTAGCTTTCGTCTTTATTCAAGACATCTTCAGAGGCAACTGGATTACATGGACAGAGAGAGGCTTAAATATACAGGGTGACCTAAAAACATGAGGTCAGGTCATAATGATGACATCCACTAATCCCCACACCAACACACACGTAGAGGAGCTTAAGAGAAGGGTGGTGACGTGACTAGCCAGGTCAGGTCAGAAAAAAGGGACCCACAAAATAACTATCATACATCTAGATCAAAGGTTTTCAAAGCATTTTTAACCTTGGGCCACTGACAAATAAATTTATGTAACATATTATCAGTTTTGAACTGACCATCACTAAGGTTTATTGATTTTAATTCCTTAATCAAACTAGCTTCAACCAGAAGTCTTTCTGTGACACAAGATGATTTGTGGGGATTAGTGGATGTCATCATTATGAGCTGACCTCATGTTTTTAGGTCACCCTGTATATTTAAGCCTCTCTCTGTCCATGTAATCCAGTTGCCTCTGAAGATGTCTTGAATAAAGACGAAAGCTAAGGTACTCCGTTGTTTCCATTTTCCCGTGTGATTTTATCAAGATATATATATATATATTACAATTTACATATATATATATATATATATATATATATATATATATATATATATATATATATATATATATATATATATATATATATATATATATATATATATATATATGTAAATTGTAATTTACATATTATTCATATTATGCTAGAGCGCCCATAAAACATGAGAAACGTTTGAGTCCCCCAGTAGAGATGTCCGTTCTCTATCCACTCCAGGATGTCCGTTTTCTTTTTGTGTACTCGCTCAGGGACTCAAGTATTTCTGTATATGACACAGGATGATAAGGGAATTTGAATTTATTTGTTTATTTATTTATATATAATATACTGTAATATATTAAATATACTGCAAGTATTTTCTTTAATTTATATACGTGTTTCGCGAAAAAGGGAGGCTACATTTATGGTGATCGTTAAGGACCAAACTCCGAATCCATGACGTGACTTCTGTTCATTATTTATATCCTAAATTTACCACTGTAGGTAGTTTCAAGAATTAATGCAGTCATTTACTGAATATTCTTTGCAAAAAAATAAATTTTAAATGAATTATTTATAAGAGATAAGTATTATGATCAGTAAATATACAGATATGCATTACTGACCACCTCCGAACACAAGGACGGCTAAAAATAGCCAAGGCGGTCACAGTCAAGGTCACTTTCCCTTTCTTGTCACTGGCAAATGGGGGAGGGGGGGTGGATGATAATAGCAGCTGTGTTTATTACAGTATGTTAGACTGGTTTATAATACATTTTTATTATTTTAATATACCGGTAATCTTCATTTTAATCCAGCTTCCCAAACGTAAGTTTCAGTATAAAATAATTAGTGGTACTGTAGGACCATGTGAGTGGTTTACTGTATACATAAATATTACATAAATTATTTCTGCAATTCTTCACAAACAAAACACATAAATCAATTGAATATGTGATGTCGAACGTAAACTGTAAACACTGTGTATGATGTAAAGAGAGCGCGGGTGTAAAACGCTATGTAATTTGATTTTCTCTTTTATGTAAAATTTTACAATTTACTTATAATATATAGGTATACTGTATACATAAATATTACATACATTATTTCTGCAATTGTTCACAAACAAAACACATAACTCAATTGAACATGTGATGTCGAACGTGAACTGAAGCCACAACAACCGTTCGAGTGGAATCGCGTTAGAGCAAACGAGTTCGCGTTTTACAAATATCGTTCCTCAATTCATAAATCGCGTTCGAGCAAATTCGCGTTGTCAAAACACGCGTTATAGCAGAACTCACTGTACCTGTATAAAAAAAAATTGCATGTGACATAAAAAATTACATCATCTCCAGTCATTTGCTTTGATATAAGGCACCCATGATTATAATCTTAAACAATATCAACATAGAATAACAATCATTTTGTCAGCAGTATCAATTATTTTATGAAAATATACATGCCCAATTAAAAACCACTGAGCATGTGCACAGAGGTATAATTTCATGTGCTCCAATACTGTATGTACAGTATTTAAAAAATGTTCAAATGTTATTAGTCTGTATTTGTGCCAGCTTAAGTACTTTTACTACAAAGTGCACAATGGTTATGAAATTTATGCTTCGCTGCCACATTTTAAAAGATCAACCAAGGCCGACACTAAGGAAATCATGTTGAAAGAGTCGAGAACTCTCAAGTCATCATTATCAATGTTTCACTACCTTATATTACAAAAGCTGCTTGTTGAAGAGATACAGGAGCAATATTCCACTTAAAACTGGAGGGAAGAAGGAAATAAAATGTCACAAGAAAGGAAGTGAGGAATAAAACAGAGCTACTGTAAAATTATGAAAGCTTGTAATTGTCCTGAGAATATAAGATCACCAGGTGCACTACATTCAGAAATGGGAGGAAAACTATTTCTCCCTTGTAGTGCTTCCAAGGAACATAAAGCTAAGTCTTGGAATAGTGTATGAATTATCAGTTTTCAGTTATTTTTCTAAAACTTATTTCTAAATATCTTCTTAAATTAACTCATACATTTTCTTAAAGTGCTTCAGGAAAAAGAAAAGTAATTATATGAAAAATAGCCTTTAATCACACCCTCATCCTTCACTTCGTGCACACATCATGGTGCAAAAATAAGGGATAATCAGTTATCACAATAGTATGGTCAGGTTATCAGAGCCCACATTCATAATTATATTAATCACCTTACAGCTATCAATGATTCCTCAGTTCCCAGTGTCATTAAAAATATTTTTAAAGTATGCAGACCAAGCAGAATTGTTGTAATATGATGTTCTAACTACATGTACTGTATTTACAATTGAAGCAGTTATATCATTTATAAAAACAAACACTTTATACTTACCGAAGAACTTTTTACTAATAATTAATTTATGAATTAACAATGGAGTATAACATTTTAAGGCTGTTATTCATGAAGAATACATAAACATGACACAGTAAAGTAGGTCAGTGCATAATGAATATTTCATGTTCATATACTTTCATACAGATTCATAGAATACATAATAATGTTTTTTACTCAAACATATTCATAAATCAAGTAGGTATGAAAATAGACAAAAATAGTTGTGAAGTATGCCACTGGCTTTGGCTGGTATGGTTCGAAAAGTACTGTACAGTATGAACATCTAAATATTTTGAGTAATTTCTGTACATAGCCCTAAAACTGTATTCTCACCAAGTTAATGAACCAAAATTAGGATCTGAAGCTAAATTTTATAATTCACAATTACTAGATGATTTATAAGAAATTTTAAAATGCTAACAATTAAATTTAGTACATCAGATTATGCAACAATTATGAACAACAGGGGGTCCCTGACTTGCAAACGTCCGACTTACGAACACCTGCTGATATGAACGAGGTCCCATAAGGTCAATTATTTTAAGAATCCGACATAGGTACAACTGGTTCATAGCAATAATGTATGAGAACTAGTGTGCGTGGCATAGCAGCGGGTGGGGAGTAATGCATCACCCAACCATGTGCCTTGAGGGAGCATCAGTAATGTGTGTGATCAAGAACAAATTGTTGTTTTTTGCTTATTTACTCTTTTTCTGCCCTCATCATGGCTTCCAAATGCAAACCTAGTGCAAGTGATAGTAATGCATCCAAGAAAAGGAAAACAATTACAATGGAAGAGAAAGTTGATGTACTTAAATGTTCTGAAACAGGTGAACCACCCTCAGTCATTGGTAAAGAGTTGGGTTTCAGTTTGCCAACAATCGAAAAAATTTTGAAAGACAAACAGAAAATTCTTGAACATGTAAAAGGATCTACTATACACCAATTCACTCAACTATGATAACAAAACAAAGAAGTGGATTGTTTATTGAAATGGAAAGATTGTTAGTGATATGGGTGGAAGATCAAAATCAACGGCATTTGCCTCTAAGTCTAGCCTTGATTCAGGAAAATGCAAGAAGTTTGCACTGTTTTGAAAGCTGCACATGGTCGTGAAAGTGATGGGGAAGATTTTATCGCTAGTAGGGGGTGGTTTAATCAGTTAAAGGTAAGTGATTCGACTTAAGCTATGATATAGTACACATAGGGTATGTGTTCCGACTTATGTACATCTTTGACTTAAAAATGTCCTCAGGAACGGAACTTGTTTGTTACCCAGGGACCCCCTGTATTGATTCCAATAACCAAAACTTAGGAAAAAATTGGTATATATTAAAAATATGAAAACTATGTTGTGAAAATTTGTCCTTAAGATATATACAGTATATAAAATGGAAACAAATCTAATAATAAAATGCAAACATGGTCCCAGGAACCTTTCTGCCTTTTTTTAACAATGATCTTTACATTTACAGTCAACAAGTGTAAAAATGTGCTCATTAAAAAGTATGGCTAAAACAGCACAATATATAAAACTTTTGTATACACAACAAACTTCAGTCATATAGAACCACCTGTGTTTAGTGTTATTCAAACAACCTGTAATGCTGTTCTGTGTGTGAAACAATCTAGGATAATAATTTAGAATAACAATAATGTACTCATATGACCAGTCGAATTAAATTTCCCTGATAAGAAAGTGTTTCTCGCACTGGTAAATATTAAGCGTAGTTTTAACGGCTTTCTTGGGTTAGTCAACAAATGAAAATGATAAATGCTCATTAGGATGACGGTTTTCCTTAGTGTCTGAATTAAAAAGTGTTTCTTGGTTTCACCAAAACCGGCTTTTTTTTAATACACAGGTCCACCACCGATTTTCCGGGAACGGATGGTCCTGGGCACCTCTTTTAATCTAGACACAATTATGAAAGGGCACTTGAAATTCTCGCGACCTCCAGATTAGTTTACTGGGCTGCCACAGATGGCGTTGCGTGTTAACCACGCTCACTTTGTTTGTTTACTCTGCAGTTGCTGGTGGTAGCCCTTGATTTTGTGTGATTCTTAGCTTATTTTGCACATATTTAACCCCAGCTATGGCTTCAAAGGCAAGTACAAGTGTCAGAGGTGCTGTAGAGCATAAACCCCTGTCCATATTGATACAAGGTAAGGTGGAACTCTTGAGAAAACTTGACCGTGGTGTTTGGTGCGACAGCTGTGTGATCAGTATGGTATTGGTTTGTCAACTGTGTATGATATAAAGAAGCAAAGAGAAAAAGTAATGAGATTCTATGCAGAAAGTGATTCCAAGAAGAAAATGTGCTTTAGAAAACAATGTAAGACAGTAAGAGTATACTGTACTGAACATGATAGAGTGATGATGGAATGGATTCGACAACGTCGCATTGAAGAAGTGGAATTGTCAGATAGCATGATAATGAAACAGGCAAAGGTGTTCCATGAAGAACTTAACTTAGAACATAACTGTGACTATAGTGAAGGATGGCTTCCAAGGTTTAAGAAGCGTCATGAAATTGCAATGGCGCTTTAAAGATACTGGGAGGTGTATAGCTAGTGGGTCAGAGGTGTATGACCTCTGTTAATCCGGCAAAAGGATGGTCCGGCAAGGCTTAGGAACCAAAGGTGCCAGAAAATCGGTGGTGGACCTGTATTACCTTATATATTAAAATATACAAGTACATGTATACTGTATTGTCTTTAATGGGGATATTGTACAGTGGTCTAATCAGATCCGATATACAGTACGCCGAACGAGAGCTAATAGATACAAGAGATGACACTTCATGAGTAATCGTGCTGTGGGGGTGGGACTGGCCGTTGCCGCATTCACCAGTTTGTTTTTATTTATGCATTATTATATTCTCTGACTGTATGATCAGCCTATTATGGTGTATGTTTTACCATTAATAATATAAGATATTAAATAATAGAAAAAAATGACAATTTGAATTTTAACATCAAAATAATAAAGCCTAGATGGTGTGTGTGTGTGTGTGTGCACGCACATGTGTTTGGCATTTGGCTGATGCAATATGCGCTCATCTTCTGCTCTCTTCCCAGAAGGATTACTATCACCATTGTTTGAATTATTTTACCTAAAATCTTACCATTTTTTCTGTGGCAAATAAGGGGAAGCAAGCCTTGCAGCTTGAGAGAAGTTAACCAGTCACAGTGCAGCATTATGGGTGAGTCCATTCTAAGCATGGGCAATAAACTGCTCACTCATGGCTCCAAGAGGAGGAGAGAGGCCTCAAGGGGGTGTTCACTGGAGGAAATTTCAAATGATTGTGCACGCGAGAATTACAAACAGACAAATATTTAAGGGTTTGGATAAATGTTTCTTGCCTGGAAAGGGTCCGGACTATCTGAAATCTGGACTTACGGGGTCCAGACTTTCGAGGGTTTACTGTACACATACTTTGCCATTTCTAGGGTTATGATAAACATATATCAATATTAGTTATGTGATTTTCTGGACACAGTTTCTGTAATGTATGGTTGCTTAACTGACCCTGTGTAATGTGTATGCAAAGCTAGTCATTACCATATTGAGACACAGGTGCAACACACTGTCAGACACCCACTATCCAATCCATTTGCAAAACTAAGTCTCAAAAGGACTGTAAAAATTTAATATTACACAGAAGATGCAAAAACTGTGATTCTATCTACTGTATAAGTACAATTTTGAGGACAATTATATTAATTCAAGTAGTGAGGATGAAGAGAAGATGAATGTATGAAGTCCGTATGTGTGGCAGTAATCAAATTGAACATTTTAGTGTTGAAGTCTAAAGCTAATCATATGAGTGACAATATGGTGTAATATTGGGTTCAAATGTAAACGCTAACGTTTGCTTTTAAAAACTCGGTTAAAAGCAAAATCAGAATAAAATATGCACTGTGGAACTAACCCCATCTTTTGAAGACTTAAAAGACATATATTAGTTTTAGCTGTAACATTTACTAAAGATCCCAGATAAAGAGGAGGAGTAAGCAGATAACATAGGTTTGGATGGAATGACAGATGTTATAAATATTATAACACCAAAAAGAGGTAGCCTAAAGGCACCTATAATACTGTCTTGGTGCTATTCCAGAACAAATATGCAAAATCTTCTTATAAAATATCAACAACAACACTAAGTATTATAACAGCATAATCTGTTAATGAGTACAGTTCTTGAAAAGAAACAGTTTGTGTTAGGAAGTCAACTATTTTCTGTACAGCACACCCCTGACATGACAGCAGTCTGACTGGTAACTGCTGTAATTATTATGCTACTACAGAACTACAAATAACCAAGAATATCATAAAGTGATTTGTTACTCATGAATCACATGCAATTAACTAGGATATGTTTGGATATCTATTGTATATAGTCATATTCTAACCTTCAGTTAAAAGCTTTACAAAATTAGCTTGAAACTTCTTAATTAACTAACAAAATGTAAATTCATTCCATGCCAACCTATCACCTTAACAGTGAAAATATTTCAAATTAATTATATAATCAAAGTTTTCCTAAAGTTATTTAAAAATCTATTGAGCACTGTCATTCCTATAAATAGTTTTATGAAATACTGTTTCTTCTTTTAAATCACTGTGCCTTATAAATTGTAATTTTATTGCTCTTTTGTTTTGATAAAATGTCTTCAGAGACGAGTGAAATCACAAATTTGATTGCTATAGTGTGAGAGGTAACTCAGCTGATACTTCACCTAGAAGTGATTTCAGTAATAATCATTATACTGTAACATGTAAAATATATGTTTCTGTATGCTTGAAGTTATTCACTTTGAAAGTCGTTTTTTTTTCTTTTTTACAATAATTTCAGATATCCCCAGTGTATCAGAATAAACTTCAAATCAAGCAATTTTTTTAAATTACTGATACTCAGATTTCACAATTTTGCACAAAATGCTACTTATTTTTTCAAAGACTCGCTAAAGTATTCATTAATCACTAAATTTCCGGCACATCCAGCACTGTGAAGTGATACACTATGCTTAAAAAAGTTTTCTGCACATATTACAGGAAATACAATATGAATACAGGGTATATGAATTTTTTTTTAATTTAGTGACAAAACACACTTGGAAATCCTTTGAAACTATGATACTTCAGATTTAAAAAAAATAAATAAAATTGACATTAAAAGCCATTTCTCTGAAGGGTTACATAGCAAAGTACAGTAAAGCAACGATCTCTTATATCAATATACTGTACAGGTTATGGCATTTTGTTTTGATGACTTCCAGTACCCATGTATCATAGTAGGGATAAAAAAAAATTAAATTAAATGAGTTGATCTTCAGGTGGGTTCTTTATTAATGTCACTCACCTCTTACCACCATGACAAAAATTTTAAAAATTGCTTTAAAATACTGAGGAATTCAGAAATTACTTCTTGCCTAGTTTCTTGTTTCCAAATTCCTTGGCTGATAAAATGTATTTTCTATGCACTTACTGTAATTCTCATGATACTGTATTTGGTTTTGAAGAAAAACAAATCTTGATAACCAATTTCAAGAATAGATTCATATTGCTAAAACTTCAAAATTTTCAAGTTATTAATAGCATTTGTTTGTTGCTATAGATGGAGAAAGTAATATCAAGAGCTTACTGCATTATATATCTCAAGCATTAAATATCACAAAACATATATTCTCAAAATATCAACTTGCATCTGCATAAACAGTATGTTTACCTTTCTGGGAACAGCTAAATTACCAAGGTAGGAGCCTTGCAATGTACAGCTCCTCACGTGACTAGCTGCCTTACCAGCAGTACATGTTACTACACATATGATCTTAAGGACCATAGATATCAGAAGGGATAGACCTTCAAAGTACTGTACCTGTTCTTCTATACAGCGACATTCATATAAAAATGAACAGGAAATATATATATTTTTTTCATTTAGAGTTATCATTTACAATATTTAGTATATGTTTTCCCGTGCATCTGAACTGTAGAACCAAATTTTATGCAAGAGTATTGTAATTGATAATATTTATGGTCATAAAAGTACGTTACCCTCAATAACCTACAACATAGTGATCAAACCACCACTGTTGTGTCCGTGAATTTGCACAATCTGTCACAAACACATCATCCATGGACTGCTTGTCACCTCTGTCAAGGCATTTATTTGTGGTCTTGTGCACTAGATGACCAGTCTGGAAAACAAAACAAAAAACATGAATGCAAAAAAATAATGCATTTTAATTTAATAACTAGTCATCCCTTGGTTATCACGCCTAATTGGGACCGCACCGAGTGCTTGATAACGAAAGTACAGAACCTATGGGATTTATTCTAATTGGTTCAAGGCACCCAAGACCCAACCCCACTTTTCCCATTTTACGACCATTTAGACCCACTAAAGATATAGATAATGTTATGGTAAGTATCATAAACACACATAGGCATGGCTAGGCTTTATTACAAAGTGATGAAAAGGGTACGCTCAATACTGTAGTCCACAAAACATGTAGCTATGCTTTCTTTATTTGAGTTCCCCGTCTGAGGAGTCCGTTTTCTCATTGCTTCAGCACGCCTGAGTCCTCTGTTTTCTCTCAATCTTAGAGTGCACCCGAGACTTCGTTATTCCTTAGTAATGACACAGAATTTGAAATTGCAACTCGGGTTGCAATTGTTGAGGCAACTTAGATATGTCTGATTACAGCAAATGTGTTATTGTTAATTTGTAGGTGAAAGAGTTTATCCTCAATAGATGTAGGTGAAGCAAATGGGTTAAAACACCTGGAGGCAACTGCGTGATAACGAAATTCTCAGCTTGAAAAATGCGCTATAACAGCAGGTGTGCAGATTTTGATGGAGGCATGATAACGAAAATCGCGATAACCAAGTGCGCTATAACCAAGGGATGACTTATAATAATAATGGATGCCCCTTAAAATAGAGGATGGCCGGCCCTAGGGCCACCTAGAAGTGAATTTGTTTAAGGTGTAGAAGCTGTTGCCAACTCAACAACCATACCCTAAGTTAACGAGTTGTGTGACCCAGTGTTAAGAAACATTACGAGATGACCGGACAACTCTCCAACAGCACTGGCTAACCATTACCTCGGAACACGATCCGCATATCGATTAACATCCAGGTCCCCAGTTACTGCTAGGTATACAGAGGCAAATGGCGTAAAGAAACCTGCCTATAATTTCACCCTGCCTCGGGATCGAACCTGGATCCACTCGCTTGCGAGGCGAGCATGCTGACCATTACACTTTTATGTCAATTTATAATTGCTGATAAAATATTAAATACCTGTACAGTATTTTTTTTTATATATAAAAGTAGAACAGGAAATGGCTGTAGAGGTCTTACTCTCACATCATTTAACCTGGCCAGCAAAGTTAGCAGTTGTGGTGTACAGTATACTGTTCTGTATAGTACTCTTACACATACACACACACACACACACACTTGAACCAACTAAAATATGCACACATGCACAAACTCTTATACACATAAATTATAAAAGTTTTCCTCTACATTATTTGAGTTAATTATCAAGATTATTCACGCTACAGTATTTTATCCTTCAGAGGTTCACCTGGCCTTATAGAAGAAATTTTTTTACAATCATTGAAATTCCTACACTAAGAGTAGAGTCAGTCTCGGAGTTACAAACACCCGACTTACAAATGGGATCACAATACTCCACTATATATTCATCACAAAAACCTCTTCCAACCAACTAACATTTTCTGGTACAGTTGCAAAATGTGTTCCTACACCCCCTGTAGTAACCAGAATCTCCAAACGGCCAACCTATATGGCCAATAGCAAACCTATCCACCAATCACGTCCAAAACCCATTCATTCATAAATTGTGATAATACTACTGCGACATTGCCGTAGGGGGGGATGTAGGAATACATTTCTGCAATTGTACTTCCAAACGGTCGAGGTAATTAAAATTGTATTTTTAACAACAAAGGTAATAGGCAGCTTTCAAACAGGGAGGTATAACTGCCTGGGAAGATGTTGGAAGTATAATGTATTGTCTACTGGTAGATCCTGCTACCATATGACATCACAAAAACTGTGACCAAGTCCCAGATTGCTAATCTGACTTTCTGTCTCATTTCCACACAATTGCAGGGTTTCAATTGTTCCTCTTACAGGTAAAGGAAATTACTGTCCCTACCTACAGACATTATTGGGTACATCCAGAATGTCATCTGCGAATAATAGAGGACCGTGAAATAAAAATCCGCGAATTTGGCGGGGGGCCCTGTATTTAATTGACCAGGATGTAGAGCAAGAAGTAGCAGTGATCAACACATGAGGTAGAGGCAGGACACAGTCTGATCGGATATAAACAAACTTCACACGCCATGCAGCGCATTTTGCGCGGAATTTAATGGAATCTCGCTTGATTTAGCGAACTAGTTCGCTAAATTGAGCGAATATAATGGAAATTTGATTTAATAGAAACTCTTGATTTAGCAAACTATTTCGCTAAATCGGGGGAAAATAACACAAATCCGATCTTGCGGAAACTTCAATTAAACGGAAAAGATTGGCTCAAATTAGTTCATTACATCGAGAAATACTGTAATCCCTTTATATGTTTACCTGTAGGAGAATTACTTCTTTTACTTTTTTCACAGTATATATGTATGACAGTATATGAATGTACTTCTTTTTTTTTTTTTCTACTTTTATGTAACCGAGTAAAAATAAATGAAGAAAGTTACATATATCTCCTAAAAAAAATACAAGTTGAAAAACAAGTATAACACCTCACACCTGAACTGCTGACGTTATCTTGAAATTTTACCTAGCATTAGTGAGGCCGCACATGGATTATGCGGTTCAGTTCTGGTGTCCTTATTATAGAATGGACATAGATTCTTTGGAGAGAGTACAAAGAAGAATGACAAAAATGATCCATAATATTAGAAACCTTCCATATGAAGAAAGACTGAAAAGCTAAGGCTTACATTCATTAGAGAGGCGTAGAGTTAGGGGAGATATGATAGAGGTGTACAAGTGGGTAAGTGGGATTAACAAGGGTAAAATGGAAGATGTTCTGAAGCTCAGTAATAACGAAATAACTAGAACAAATGGCTTTAACCCTTTAGGTGCGTAATTAAATTTCGCGCCGGTTCCTGAAAAGTGTCAATTATCCTGCCAAAAATGAATTTCATATAATCACATTTTCTATATGTTTTTCCTAGAGAACTTTTAGTATATTTTCCAAATCTGGAACAAAAATTCACATATGTGTGCAAATTTTAGAGAAAAAATGACATTTATACCCAAAAATGCAGGAAATTGGTATAAATCAATGTCTGGTATATGGCAAATAAATTTAATCAATTTGGTTACTAAACAGCAAATTTAGATATGTATTACATATTCAGATAATATCAAACAAAATAGTACAAAAATAAGCTATATTGCATTCAGGAAATACTCCTATACCTCAATACATAATATGTCCGCATGTCGTCTCATTTGGGGAAGTTTTTTCAAGGCCGTGGGATATCCCCGCTTGTCGCATTTAATTAATATAATATTTTGGGCGGGTTTACCCGCATGCCGCATCCAAAGGGTTAAATTAGATAAATTCCGATTCAGAAAGGATATAGGCAAGCACTGGTTTGGTAATAGAGTTGTGGATATGTGGAATAGGCTACCGAGTGCTATAGTATGATCGGGGACGCTAGGGAGCTTCAAGACGAAGTTGGATAGGCACATGGAAGTGCTGGGATGGGTGTGAAAGGGATCTGCCCTGTATGGGCCAGTCGGCCTCCTGCAGTATCCCACTTTCTTATGTTCTTATGTTCTTATGTAACCTGGCTACAATGCTCCCAGCGATGTTAACAGATGCAAATGTGAAAAAAAGTTATATGTAACTTCATTTGTATCAGGTATTTGTAGATTTAAAAATAAATGTTGCAGGAATGGTATTAATAGATAGTAATGCTAGAAAGAGTTCAGAAATGGTTACTGCTTAGCTACCTCTGAAGAGTTGGGTGTCTGCTGTATGGATGTTAATCATCTCAGTTTACCATCAGTACAGTACTGTAGTTATAAATCGAGCTTTTATATCTACAATAAATATTTTTTTTAATTAATTAAAAATTACAATAATTATTTAAGTAAGCAATAACATTTTTAATTCTAGAGTCAGGTTAAGTAAAATTTAGCCTATTGGAGACAGCACCTAGGGGATTCATTAGTCTACACGAGACCGCAACTTCACATATAGGATGATGGCCAATTTTTTTGAGCCATTTTTCAGACAAAAAAGTGCATCTTATATACCATAAGATACAGTAAGTCAAATTCCCTCTGACAAGAATGTTCTGTATGAATTTTGCGCATGTAATTATTTCATACTTCTAATAAATATCTCACCTGTGTCAATATCCATTCTTGGTTGCCTCGCTGTCCATGACAGGAAGTCATTCGAACTTTTTCTGTTGACCGCATGAAGAAGCTTGGTACCTCAGCACAGACCTCCTCTCTACGAAGTTCTCCCTTTTTTGACAGGGACATGAACTATAGAAAAAAATATTAGGTTGATGCTCACCAGAAATAAATTCTGAAATCAGATTTCAATTAGACACCAATTTTTCAAATAGCTGCAGTAAATTAACAATCATAAAAATTCACATAAAACACTGAATGTGAATAAATTACAAGTACAGCATGCCTATCAAATTCGCAGGGGTTAGGTTCTCAAAATAGCCAAATCCACGAATAACATTTGCTGACTAGGGGGGAGGTGGGAGGTTCATTTTTACTCGTGTGCTATGAAATGTATATTCCCTTTATGTGTTTGCTCTAAGGACAATTATTTCTTTTACCTGTAATGTATATATGTATGTGTGTGTGTGTAGACACACACACACATACATATACTGTACAATACATTACATATATACAATCAGAAACAAATGTATCTGTATTAAAAATGTGAGAGTCTACCCTCAAGTCCACTCTGTGATTTGTTATTAATAACAAAGCACAGAATTGACTTCATGGTAGACTGTCACATTTTTAATACATTTGTTTCTGATGATTTGTGAGAGGATTCTTCCATTATTATTTACTTGTATGTGTTTATGTGTCTACACACGCACACACATATATACAGTACAGGTAAAAGAAATTACTGTCTCTAGAACGAATGGCTCCCTGTCCCGGCCGTGAAAATGCCAGCAACTTTCAAACTACCCTTAGACATTCTTGGGTATATCCAGGGTGTCATCCGCCAATAATTGAGGTCCGTGAATTACCGTAAATATTCGCAAATTTGAAGGGCATGCTGCACCTGCATATGGATGCCACAAACATACACAACATATTACTGTTGGTCACTTGGACTAAACATGCCAACTTAACTCGTATCTTAAAAATCCCTGCATCATAGTAATCGTAATATATATATATATATATATATATATATATATATATATATATATATATATATATATATATATATATATATATATATATATATATATATATATATATATATATATATATATATATATATGAAAAATAAAAAGCATTCTAAAGCCCTGTGTATGATTTTTTTTTACATTAATTCAAAATGCAAAAGCTCAAAAAAAAAATTTCATCACCCTCACAACTCAGATTTTATAGAACTACAGTTAAGTTTTTATTGATATCCAAAATAAGCACCGCTTACCAATATGATGTGTTGTTTTGTGATTGGATGATGTGATAGTACGCCCAGTGCCCAGTGGTAGCAAATTTGAGTCAATTTAGAGCACTTCATTATCTACTGTATTAGTTTTCTAACTTTAGTTTTATTAAAATGATATCATTAATGTATCATCATCATACCAGATAATGTAGCTATGAAATGAATGAATAGAAATGGACTTTATTTCATAGGAAAAATACGGTAATCAATTAAATGAAAATCAGGACTGAAGCTGACGAGAGGGGTTTGCGTGAAAGAGTCACACAGTGGGACTTACATTAGGGATCTTCTGGACTACAACGTAATCAAAAGATGACAGATACAGTACTTCCAGTATATCGAAATTATAATTATAAAAATCGTGTTGATACACTGTAGCCTTTGTTTTTTTCCAATTTTACTTGATTTATCTTAATTAGCAGTTAGGTTGTTTTTGTTTTTTAAATAGGAAAAATAAACATTAATTGGTATCCATTACACCTGCCAGGAAATTCGTCTTGGAAGAGAGGAGTTGCCAAACACTGCTACAACAGAAATTTTCAAGATTTTTCAATTACCATGACATAAAACATTCACTAATAATTTTTATGTTCATAAAATATATTGTATAATCATATTAAAGAAAAAACTTTTCCCTTTGGTATGAATATGGTGATACATCAAGAGTTATAAATATAGACGAAATATCACTATCAACTTACACATGTCGTGGCATAACTGTCACTGATCAGGCCTGCCACAGCCCACATAATTAGTCGTCATCACCCTGTTGTAGTCACAAAGAGGATGGACACTATTGGTGTTTTATGAATATGATTATATCTCCTTGTGATTAGGAGACATCTAATACAACCGTTTAGAAACCTAGTGTAAAAGCTGTATCATTTGTTTAAAACCCATTATTACATTTTGCCTACGGTAGTCTGCATGTACAGTACTGTTGGCTAAGTACACATACAGTACTTCTATTATGGTTAGCCAAATCCACAAATTGTTAAGCTGGGTATTTCTGGTTATACTGTAATATGGTTAAGTGCTCAGTTTTCTATTGTGTGCAGGGAGAAACTTGCTAGAAGTTACATCGTTCGCCCTCCGATTGACTTTGACTGTTGAGAGACAAGTGGGCATGAGATTGTAGGCATTTAACTCCAAACAATCACAAGCCAAAACTAAAATGAGGGGCAGTGCTTATTTTGGGGTATCAATAAAACAAGAACTACAGTTTTCCCATCAGTCTGAAAGTGCTCACATTTAACTAAACAGTAACCATACATCTTAGTAATAACAAGTTCCTTACTTCTATTTACACTAACTAGAATTTTTAATTAGGGAAATCACAGTGGCAATGAGCCTCAAACTACCAGCATCCCTTCATAAATAACTGTACGTATATTGTATTGTATTTCACACAAATTATTATTAAACATCTTTATCTGAGGAAATCACAGTAATACAGTAATTTCACAGGAATTATTATTATTGTGATGTTACAAATAGATCTTAAGAGTATATATAATAGTTACCTGACTAGAAGCCATAAATGTGTGGCAGTTGTAGAGACCCATGTTATATGGATTCTTCTCATGCCTTTGCAGAGTATCAAAACAAATGGATGGTTTTGTTGCATTGTTACGAAGCTACAACAAAAAGAATGGAAGACTGTAAAAGTTGAATTACCTTAAAAAAATAGTGGTTCCCAAGGAGAGGTGTTGATACACAAGAGAAGGAAGATAGAGATAAGTGTAAGCAATAAACATGCATAATGAGAATAATACATGCTGTATTCCTTGCAATTTATTATTGGTACATTTACTATAATTGACGATTCATCCATTTTTAAGTATATTTCTTTTGTCGGTAACTGGTAATAATTAAAGTTTACCGGTATATATATTTATATAATAACCTTCTCTAGATCCTCCATGCTTAGATGATACCAAATTGTCATTTGAGTTAAATATATACACTCTGTACCAGGGGTTCTCAAACTGGGGTACATGTCAAATATATATTGTCTAAATATAGTTTATAAAGAATTTCCCACCAAAAAACTGCCACTCCACAAATTTGCACTAACACTGATGTGCCCAAGCACATAGTGCCTCCACTGTACAGGCAGTAATGAATGACAGGCCTACATATAATGAAGCCAGGGAGTGCCAGGCAATTAGTTCAAGACAACTGCAATTTTGCAGGTCAACACACATTTTGTTTGAAAAAATCAGTTTGGTTCAGAATCTGGTACAGTGTGGGCATCTTGTGTGAAGCAGGGCTGCCTCAAGTTTTGGTGTTAGCAGCAAAATGGTTAATTGATACTAATTGTTCACATTTATAAAATTTATGTTCAGTATGGTATTGTAACTGCAAAGTGGACATGTTGACCAAAATAGATCAGCCTTTTCGTGTGATCTTGAGCCATAGTCAAATTAGGCTCTTTGTGAGCAAGGATTTCACCACACATGCTATACCCTATCCCAGTGTAAATTGGTGCTATGTTGTCCAGTACAGTACAAGATTGAAATGTTTCCTTTACATTTATAGTGACATTCTGTGATTATAAAATACAATTTTGATATACTGTGACGCAATCGAGTAAATAGAACTATGTCACCCGAGTAGGAATATTGGCGGTTACACGGTCACCTCGGCATAGCATCACACAAGATGTTACACCGCCCTCGCAGTCTTTGTTTATCTTCGATACGTATCAAAAGTCTGTTTACAAGGACTATGCTTTATCTTCATACAGGTACAACACTGTCTTTATTGCTTGAATTTACAATGCGTGGCAAGATTGTGAACCATTCAGGTAGTGGAAGCAAAGTAAAACAAAGAAATGGTTTAACTCTTGAACAGAAATTAGATGCGATAAAGTGATATGATTGACTCCACTTCCTCCTCCACCACTTGTCTCAAACAACCATTTCCTCTTCTTGTGATTGTTAAAACATTCTTATAAGATTATTTACATTTCATATGGTTAAAAAGTTTTAATTAAAAAGGTTTTACCATTGGAAGCTGTTAAGAGTCGCCCTTCCATATTATGTCATCATGTTGGTTCTGCACCTTCTTGCATGGCTCCATTTTCTATTGTGCATCAACTGCACTAACACACCATAACAAGTATTTTTCCCTGTTATCATGTTTTTATTCTATTAATAAATTATATTTTTAAACAAACATAGGTATTATAAAAGAACATAAAACTAACAATAATATGAAAGTGTACGTGGGTCCCACGTTGGTTGGTGCTCTCGCAGCTACTACTCCCAAACCCCTTAATTCACATTCAATCAATTGTTACAATACAATGTGATTTTTCTACAACATGGTGTTTTTCAAGAATACAACTACAGGGTACTACATTATAGGAAAACTCTGTTAATCTAGAACTGTACTCTGATTTGTGATTGGCTGTCTTGGCATTAGTTTCTGGAGGTCCTACCAAGTTTGTTTAAATCAACCAGTCGAGGATTTTTAGTGTTCTAAGCTTCTGTACATCTCTAATTTTCCCTTTAATATTACTTCAAAGACGCCAGCAAAGTGTGTTGGTGGTACAGGGACAATGCGCATAACTTTCACCAATATGTCAAGAGTTCAAATCTAGCTTGGCCCAGACACCTGTAGGAAGGGTGTTATCCAGTGTGAACCTACCAAACATCACAGTTTTCCAGTTCCTCCTGTACTAACACGAGATAGACCAACCGCCCAAACATCTACGGTAGTAAGCTAATAAGTGGTGGAAGTTATGGTAATATTATGCATGTTACACTGGGCTTATGTAAGATACACACAATAATATTCATTCTAAGTACTCTTTATTAAAACAAACTAAGGGCAAGTTTCTTTATGTTCTTTGCCTCTGTGTATTCAACAATAATTAGGAGCCACAGTAATGGTTAGCCAGTACAATTGGGAAATTGTCCAATCATGCAGCTCATTAAACTCAGGATGTGGTTATTATGTTAGCAACAGCTTCTACACCTTAAATAAATTAATTTCTAAGTGATCCTAGGGCTGTCCATCCTCAAACTTGAGGTTGTAACCATTGTTTTATATAAGTAAAAAAAAATTATATCTAACATACACTCGACCCTGTGTACCGTGTATCAAATATGCCATTTCCCATACTCACAGCTGTGTAGTACATGCAGAATTCCACTAAAAAGCCTGATCATGCACTACTATCAGAAATTCAAAACATGTTCTTACATTAATTGTACAAGCAACACCTCCTAAAAGAAAATGTTGCTGTTTATTCTCTAAAACACAACCCGCAATAATCAAGACTCAAGTATTGGCAGAGTTGTCTTTGTTGATGCACAGCTGCACACGCATGATCAGCCGAGATTATTTAACACTTGTAAAATTATTACAATCTTTGAATAGTAGGGTCGGGTTATATAGCGACTTTATTTACCCTAATTATTTTTTTTTTTTATATCACGACTACCAAAATTATCAAAATTTTCCAATATTTAGCGCTAAATTTATTTACAGTAGACTCACAACTTACGTGGGGTTATGTTCCTGGGGCCTCACATAAAGCCAAAAACCGTACAGTCACAAACACTCCTAAAAATCCCCTAAATCGCCCCCAAAATACGAATTGAAAACTGTTCAGTACTGAAGTGTACTCTAAAAGACTAAAAATTTTTATCTCTTGTGCAAAATATATGATGTCTATATTCAAATTACTCACTGTCTTGCAAGGATTCCAGCAATACAATTAATATTCTGCTAACTTTAGACTGTGCCATTTTATGTCAAGTTTAGTCACTTTTATTGGCCTCCAGAACGTAACCCTATTTTCCCCATTGATTACATGTAATTATATATCGCGATTTAGTATACAGCTCCTCCCCGACTTACGATGGGGTTAGGGACCCGAATCCAGGTCGTAAGTCGAAATGGTCGTAAGTCAAAAATGCTTAAATATTACATAGAAAATCAAATATGAATGTCTCTTTTTCTTCTCAGAACCACAAAACCCTCACTTTTAAGCTTGCCAGCCATTTTAAAGTGAATTACAAACGAAAATTTTGTCAGTACACAGCGCAATCACTGACAAAATTTTGGTACGACTGAGGCAGGTCGTAAGTCGAGTAGGTCGTAAGTCGGGGAGGAGCTGTATAGCGAACATCCTTGGACCCTATCTCGCTATACATCCCAACCCTACTGTATATGGAAACAAGACTTCTATCACCAAAAAACACATTTTACGTCGGGTACCCCCTCCCGATGAATTGTTCTGACGATTCCAATAGGAAACCCGATCCATTGGGACTGCCTTTGGTCTTGTAAGTATTTCTGAATAATGACAAGTGGCGATGCCCCCAATCAGTCGTATCATGTAGTTACAGTACTATGAATACAGCCAGAAGTACAGATTTTTTTTCTCTGGTTGCAAGCTTGGCTTCCACACTCACAGAGACTTTGTTAACATTTGTTTTACTTCATAAGTAACAAAATAAATAAAATATAGTTGTATACATGCCTCGAATAATAATAAAAATAATACATTAAATACAGTATATTTAGAAGTTAAGAGTTCCCTAAAAGTATGATAGGAGAGTTCATAAATAACTGTTAACAGTGTGAATAAATAACCCAGTGCCTTGCTTATCTCTATTTATATTCATTTGTATCAACAAAATATAACATTTTGTTGATACCTGTACAAATGAATGTAAATAAAGATTACAAAGGTACAGTATAATGTATTGGGCTTATTCAATCAGACATTAATTAAATTTAAACTATCTGTACTCCTTGCAAATATTCTCCCTAAACGTGTAAAGCTGCTGGGCATCAGATCTTGTAAACAAACCGAAGATATGGTGCAAAGTAGGCCTACATATGTAGCTCTCAACTTCTAAAAAGACTACAATATAAACAAATTAAATTAATTAGAGTATGCATACAATGATGTTTTCCTTATTTTGTTGCAAAAGAAGTAAAACATAGTTCAACCGTGCGTGTATGGAAGTAAAACCCGAATACAAATTAACATGCATTTGGTCTCCTTTTTGCCATACATATAGCTCTTCGCTAAATTGGAATTACAATGAAAAATCCTTGTTTGATTAATGACAAGTGTGTGTAGCCTTATTAATGTAAAACTCACTGCCCTAGAGAAACTTATGTTGATATAATAGGCCAACACAGAAAATGTATTAACTTTTCAAAGCACCCAACCAGCTTGTTTTATCACATTTTGACTATCCCTTCACCTTCAAACTAACCATCCATCTCAGTTAAAAAATCCTTTATAGGTACATGCATATTGATAATACCTTTGTCATTTTACGTTTTAAACCTTTAGATTCCCTTTAAATGTTCTTACCTCATTGCGGAGAGGTGCATGTTGGCAAGAGTATAAGCCGAGGGTGTAATCACTCTTGTCCAAATCTTCACGTTCAAGGGTATCAAGACACACACTCATTCCAATGTTTCGTACCTGTGATGGGTCATTGCAGGTCAAAAGTCAAGGGTTAAGTCATTGTTGTAGTTTAAGTCAGGTCACAAAAAATAAAACAGTAATGTCAGACAAGGACAAACATAAGATAATCACATGCACCAGGCTCACTTAAACATAAACACAATCTAGCTTCAACATGAACAGTCTTACTTCAGCCTAAACACAGATATACTGTAATGAAGAAAACTTTTAAGTGTATACAGTATAGTACAAGGTTAAAGATCGGTATTTGAGAATTACGTGGTAAGAAAAAGGAATTATCTTGCGACAGAAAACTTGAACGGTACTGTAGTTTAACCTTTTGATATTCTCTTTACAGAATATGAATTATGTAATGAAGGTTACACTTATATTTAAATATCTTATAAAAAAAAATAATTATATATACTGTACATATACAATACCTGTATATACTGTATATAATAATGTCGCATAAAAATATCACACATTCAAAAATTCATTAATATACTTTTTGACAATGATAAATTTCTTGTTTTAATGCTTTCAGGCCTATTCCCATTGTACAACAGGGTGGCCAGAAGCAAGCTTTTTCCCACAGTACAGCAGGGTAGCAAGAACCAAGCCTTTTCCCACAGTACAGCAGGGTGGCCAGAAGCAAGCTTTTTCCCACAGTACAGCAGGGTGGTGAGAACCAAGCCTTTACCCACAGTACAACAGGGTGGCCAGAAGCAAGGTTTTTCCCACAGTACAGCAAGGTGGCCAGTACCAAGCCATTTCCCATAGTACAGCAGAGTAGCCAGAAATAAGTGACAATGCAAACTCTCCATTCCTTGTCATTCATTCATGTTTACTGAAATATATCATAATGAACACAAATGAATAATAAGCTCTGTCTACTCATTGCAGACTTGAAGATAATGTATCAAATTTCATTGAAATTTTTGAAAGCTGTTACTAGAATCTGAACAAACAGAGTAGTGACAGGACACAATACACAGACATATCAAAGGTAGGTATAGCAGGCAATAACAACCAACTACATTAACAATGACATTATTAACCAAAGAATTTAAATTTATGAACTTAACCATAAATATATATATTTTTTATTTTAATGTCATGTTTGCAGTTCTTAACTAAATACTGTTAGTTAAACATTAATACAGAAGCAAGAGGACACATGCAAGTTAGAAAAGAGAACTGTACTAATCACTTGCATGATGGCAGTTTTTATGCAATATAATTATAAGATCTCATAATTTATGTGTTCTAAATATAAATATAAAGACTCACAAGGTAATGTGAGATATTAACTGTAAATTCATCTAAACACAATTTCATAATTAAAAAAGACAATCATGTTTATGAATACAGTTCTCTCTACAGTCAGTTACAGTCAGATTGTCAAGTCATACCATAGATGTTACACTGTGAGACTGATTGTGTTCTTGTATTTAGGGAATGTCTTTATTCTTTTTTTAACATATACAGTAGTAGTTTGTCATGCTGTGTGACTTGTGTTCAGGTCTTTAAACAGCATTTCATTTTGCCCTATTAAACAAATACTTATATTAAAGATTATATTATTGTACAATACAGTAAAATGATTCAAATTAAGATTATATTTTTTACAATTTATAATTGAGAAATAGTAATAAAAGGTTAAGTACACTGTAAAATAAACTTATTGCCTGTACATTTCTATGATTACAAATACAGGAAACAAGTCTCACAGCTGCAACTACAAGGGGCATTACAGGAATATAGTTTGTCATCACATAACTCTACATCACTCACAGGACTGATGGACTTCAGTAACATCACTCACCCATTCAATCGGGGCTCATCAGATTTTTTGTAGCTGTAATTTTCTTGTCAATAATTCCTAATTTTTAATTGGAAGAGAAAATTTCTTTAATGTGTCAGATTACGGTAGAGATAAAAGGGAATAAGTAATAGGTTCAAACCATCTCTTAGATTCAGCAAACTTGGCTGTTACCTACCACCAACCAACATAATCTGAGAAACTGTAAAATATGAGGAAATTTATCTTGTGCTTCACCAGAAATGATTCACTGAATTATCACAAAGAATCAAAGATGCTACAATAACATAAATTTATCTTTCTCATAACCTTTCTTAAGATGGCATCAAGTTTCTCAGCCCAAGAGACAGTGTGATACTAAGCATCTTGTATAAAAGATACAGTATATTGTACCTCATCCTTTACCATCTCATGTGTTACTCCCTATCATGCACCAACACACCACTGCTTCCAATTATTCTTCCCACATCACACTACTCATCATCTCTTTCATGTCCTTTCAGTTCCTTTTCACTTTTCCACTTTGATTTCTCCCTAACAAATCAGTCCATGTACAAGTTGGGCTGTAGCCAGGAATTTTTGTTTAAGCAGCACAGTACTTCCGTAAGTGATTGATCTATGACGACAAGTTGATATGATGGGTGGGAAGGAAACACAGGGTTGAGCTGATTTCCTTTATTCCTCTAGCCCAAAATGTTAGAGAAATAAAGGAAGTCAGCTCAACCCTGTGTTTCCCTTCCGCCCATCAAATCCACTTCCATAAGTGCTGAAGGCATGTGGCTTTGCAGCTGCACTAACTAGGATGTGTCTGATGCAATTGAGTTGGATAAGCAACCACTGTACTTGTAATTAACTTATTCAAACTAAAGCATTTCAAATGGAATGTAGTCAAACCTTTCAGATTATTCAGTCAAGAGATGAATTAAAACACTGGAAAATCTGGCTGATGTCAACACAGTGGGCCACTATGAATCCAAAACTTTGGCTACAGCCCTGTAGGATACTTCCATGCTGCTGGCTAACCACTTGGTCAATAATACTTATTAGATTCATTCCAAGTAAGCCACCAATGAGCATATGCCAAACAAGTACCACAGAACATGCAGAGTTGCATTTTCTAATTGTTTTGTTGCAAACATTTATTTTTCATTACAACATCATACAGTTTCCTCTTCTGACGTTTACTCTGTAAAATCTAAGATTTACATAGAAAGATGGCACCTCTTGTTTGTTACCTAACTTGACCATACAGTATTTGAAAAAACACACTACTACAGTATATATACTGGTATATTAACCACATTCATTTATATAAATCTACAGTAATATCCCTCAAATAATTAGTCATATTCTTCAAAATTACTGAATCCCCCCCCCCCAAAATGGTTGATAACTTTGTTCCGATTTGTTTTATTTTCTGTTCTCAGGTCCATGGCAAACTACTTCTATCTGAAGCATCCAACAAACAATTGCTCAAAACAATTACTGCCAGAAGTGTCAGCATCAATACCCAAAATGACCATTAATAAGAGGCATATAATTTGACATCCCAACAAAAGTGAAACAACTAACAAACTTACCATGGAGTATGGGGTTGCCCCACTGCCCATTATTTAACATTATCATTTACTGTATAGTATTTACTGTAATAAGTACTCTACAGTAAGTAATACAGGCCTGTGTAGGTTAGTTTACATTACAGCGGTCTTGTTCAGTACTGCCGACTGATATAAAAAATCAATTTGAATGGAATTCACATGGCCTAAAGATAGTTCGGATTTGAGGGATTTCACTGTACGTACACAGTTTCATTCAATAAATTTACCATCCCATATTTCTTCCCAACTACAAATAATTTTCACCTATAGTTACTAAACAAAATAAAATCTAAATAGCATTCTATTATCTACAGTATTTTCAAATCCAAAACTACATGATAAACTGTAAAGTTCCACCACCACCGACACTACAAAATGTATTCATTACTGCTCAGAGGAAGAAAACACTTTCCTCAACTGACATTCTCATTATACATATTTACTCCCTTAAGAAAAGAAAGAAAGAAAGAATGAAGAAAGGAAGAAAACCTTAGGAACCAATAAAAAGGTCATGTACAGTACATTCAATAAAATAAAATGTTTAGCATGAGCCTTTTAAATAAATAAAAGTACTGTTGGTCATGATTATTACATATACTGTACTGTAAAACATTAGCACTTCTTTCAGTTATTATCATGTTACATATCACAGACAATTAAAGTATGAGTAAATTAATGAATATAGATTATATAGGAAATTCTTATATGATTATTAATGAGCTATATTATTGCCAGGAATCTGTACTATGGGTGGGTGTTTTTTATTATCTAACATAGTGAATGGCTTTGATGTCAAGCAAAATTAATTAAACTCCCACCACAAGAAATAAATAATGTGATTTTAAATTGTCTTGTTTTATTCCTTAACGGTGAATTTAAGTGATACAGTTCCACACAACACTAGACAAGAAATAAACAGTACAAAATTTGCTCACTCCTTTATTGTGAACAAATTTTAATACAGTACAGTAATATCAAGTCTACTGTACAAATGATACTTGGTGTTAACATATAACTAAACATGGCATGGCTGGGATTTGCCAATAATTGACTCACCCGTCCATAAGCAACGGAATCTTCATCAAGGATAAACTTCTGTGGGTAAATGTTATCCAAGTACCACTTGAAGCTCTTGCACTGAAGGCGGTTCCTGAGTTCTTTCCTTTCACTCACATCTCCATAGTCTGCATGCTGAAACATATGTAGAACTGTCATGATAGGAACTGTGTATAGATACATCAGGAACAAACTATTACAAAATATCAATTTATAAAATTATCAAGTCAGTCAGTTCAGCACCTTTCTTAATATTCCTTTCATATGTGTACAGTATTTCAAGAAATAATGGCCTTCATCCCCATACTATACCACTTTTTCTCTTAAATAAAATACAGAACTTTACACAAATCCTAAACCAATTCAAAACAGTAATTCACACACACACAGTCAGTCAGTACTTTAGGTACCATGGTCTTCATCTTTAAAAAAAAAATCAGTAACCAGTAAGTATCTAAAGACTCCAACTTTGAATTCTTTCTTCCTAACCAAAATTACCATACAGTATATAAATTTGATTAAAATCAAAACACAATTAAAGCTTTAAAATACTTCAGGAATATATTTTGTGTGCTGTACAAATGGCCTTTGTCCTTAAGATTTTCAGAAAATCTGCAAATAAGTTACTGTATTCAGAAATGTCTCTTAACTCTCATTACTAGTACTGCAAAACAAAAACTATTACTTATAGCTCTTTACCCTGAAGTTAACTGTACTGTATACAAACTTTTATGATGATGATATTTGAAACCATTTACTGTATGAGTTAAGCTCTGGAAACAAAACTTAAACTGGATGTTACAGTAAGAGAAGTGGATGCTGCTCACTTGAACCTAGAAAAAATACACATATACCCCCCGTACTGTACAATACTCTCTCTATAAAAATAATGAGGTCCAAATTGGCACATACACATCTTATGAGGATAAGTAAAAGTACAAACAAAAAGACAAAGTAAGTTTGAAAAAGGGAAATAATCAATGGGGACATTAGGAAATTTAAATTTTCACAGTACAGTATCGAGTACGGGCTCAAAATGAGTGGAAAAGTAACAAATGGTCTTATATATGAATGTAATCAAACTTGATACATTTATAAAAAAAGATCAAACACTGGCCATCCCCTCCCCATGGCAGGTCCTCCACACTAATGTATACCCAACAAATAAAAAATTATTATATTTTCACATCAGAAGAATCATTACAGGATAAATAATGCAGCGGACATAACTCCACATGACATGCGAGTCAAATTTGTATTTTTACCTCTAACTCTGGCCTGTAGAGGAAAAAGAGCCGCTTGTAACCATCCATCCAGGTATCTGCCAGTCGTGCTGTGTTTAGTCCATGGGTGTCTTTGTTACCAGGGAAGGTGTAAGGATGGAAGGAACGGAATATATGTCCAACACGGGAACATGGTATAGTCTCCAAAGTGCCACCACACATCCACACCTGGGAGCAAAGGAAAATAAGAAGAAAAAATAAAAAGGAAAGTGATAATTAAAAAAACATTACAAATACTGCAGGTCACTCAATCAACAAAAACTCCATCAAATTTACATACAGTTTGTTACACTACTATGAATCTAACCAACATTACTTTTTTTTTCCATGCACAGGTGCACATCTGTATAAGAACATAAGAACATATGTTAAGTATAAAAAAATATATATTTGACTGATTTGATACCTAATAAATTATCATTGTGTTAATATCTGTGTTGTAGTTAAAGAATAAAAAATTTTCATTTGACATTTCTAAGTTTGTGTAGTAGAAGTATCATAAAATAAAAGGTCTTAGTACTTACTCTGAAAGACATCTCCAAGTTTTCTCCTCCCCAAACATCCATTCCATCATCGTAGCTTCCAATTTCCCAGAAGTAGTTACGTTCAATAGCAAACAACCCACCAGCCATCGTGGGAGATCTAACCAAAATAGTTACAAAGTTAGTAGGAAATCAATAAGAGACTGTTAATTGTCAGTCAGTTTTATACTGTCAAGACAGTACAAAATAAGCATTACAGCACAATAAAGTTTTCTAAATACTGTACGGTATATCTGTGTCTGTACACATCCATCTAGTCAACTATGTTTCTATATACAGTATATATCTTTATCTCTTTACACCCAAATCTAGTTATATAATTTTCTATTTTAATTATTATCTGAACTGTATCTGCATCTGTGTAAAATTAACTGTTTTAATATACAGTATAGCACTACGGCATGCCCTTCAAATTCGTGGGGGTTAGGATCTCGAAATGGTCGCAAATCACCAAATCTGCGAATAACATTTGCTGACTGAGGGGGGGGGGGTGTTACATTTTTACTTGTGTACAAAGAAAGGTATATTCCCTTTATGTGTTTGCCCTTAGGACAATTATTTCTTTTACCTGTATTGTGTGTGTGTGTGTGTGTGTGTAGACACACACACACACACAAAACACAGAAAGAAATCATAAAGAAATGTATTAAAATATTGAGTCTACCCTCATATCCACTACGTGCTTTGTTATTAATATTTTTTTTCTGATTATTTGTGAGAGGATTTTCTCATAATTATTTATTTGTATGTGTTTTGTGTGTGTCTACACACACACACATATACAATACAGGTAAAGAAAATTACTGTCTCTAGAATAAATGGCTCCCTGTCCTGGCCACAAAAATGACAGCAACTTTAAAACTACCCTTAGACATTCTTGGGTACAACCAGGGTGTCATCCGCAAATAATAGAGGACCGCGAAATAAAAATCTGTGAATTACCCAAGCGTACTGTACAGTATATGTCTATATGTATCTACAGCTAGACCCCGACTTACGACTGCTACGACTACTCACATGTGTCTCTCTACACAGACAATCCCCGAGTTAAAAATGACAAACATACAAACACATGCACTTACGAACAGCATCCAATATATTCATAAAAAAAAATCTAACTAAAATCCCGTGTTTTATATTACTTTATATTGTTTAACGTCACTTTATTTAAACTATTTTCATTTTTTAAATGTATAGGATATTATTATTGTTTTGTATGGGCCGGGTTGTGGTTTAAGCTAACCTAACCTATAGAATTAACACTGTTCTGACTTATGAACAGGGTCCAGGAGCATAATCCATTCATAACTCGAGGACTGCCTGTACAGTAATCTGGTATTACAAACATCAATCACAATAAGAGTGGATTGACTTAATGAGATGAAAACCCCCAACACATCACATACTAAACCTCTGCACCTGTAGCTTCAGTAGTCATACAGGGTCAATGAAAACCACTTGGCACTCAATTTCTATTCCAACTGTACTTATTAATGAACCCAATCTAAACAACTAACAGACCCCATGAAGAGTTTCCTATAACCTATTATAGATAATAAATAAGTACAAAAGACCCTTTGACAGATAACATGTGCAGATCAATAACTCTAAAGAGGAAATTATATTTCAAACCCAACCAAGTTGGGTTATGATATGTCAGTCCCACAACCAACATAAAAAGTTGAACTCAAGACTGGGTTGTTGCCAAACTCTAAATAACATTTGCAACACAGAACAAAGAAAGGTTAAACTTAACACACTAATAATACCATGAACAGTGTGGCTTAGGTTTTCTAAATCTCCTACATTGTGTACATACATTATTCTGATTTCTCTGTTCTCCATGTGGAGAGCTAAGTGCATTCCCCTCTGCTTCAAACACTTGGGAGGTTTAGACTGAGACTGAAGTTGATCCTGGTTTCACAGCTTGTGGTCAAAGACAGATGACACGTAAAGTGTCTGCATCTGATGTGAATTTGTGATTCATAAACCTCAGTGGTACACACTGTGTCCAAGACCCCTTTTGACTCTAGTGCTGCAACATGCCAGAAGAAGGCTCTGCAATGTTGAGACAATCCAGCAAGCTGCCAAGATTTTGGCATAAATTTCTAAAATTGTGTGCCAATTAACATAGTTATAGTCTGTGTTCCATAGGCCTCTAGGTCCCCTACACCCATGACTCACACACCTCAGTACACACACAGCTGTTATGGAGAAAGCACATTTGTCTCCATCTCCTAGTAACTGGAACCATGTACTTTGCATTGCACAGGAGGTGCACAAATGAAATTTAGTGCCAAGAACAGACAAGGAAATCTTTAGTCCAAGAGAAAGTTAGTGAATACACCTGTCACCGCATCCTGTGTTTACACATCCACTGCTACCCCTCATTGTCCTCCTCCTCCCACCCCTAAGCACTGCACAGTCTGCCTGAGCCACCATAAAGATGACCTTCAGCTCTTCACCAAGGCTAAGCAAAGGTACATAAATTATTTAGTCTTTCATTTCCCATTAACTTGCAAGCATATATTTATCTATATATGATAATATGTTTTTTTAAGAACTTTAATATTTCATGCAAATTGTGCATTCAATGCACAACAAATTAACCTCATGCCGCAGAGAAGAGTTAAAGGGTCGAGTTTCAATGGGAAGGGATAACTTTCAATAAATTAGTCTCGGCTACCCTTGTCTACAGGTTTCCTGGGTTTTAACCCCCCACAGACTTGGTGGAATAATACAGTATGCAAGTCTCTTAGGCCAGATTTAAGGTTTGAAATATCTACACCATATATTAATATAAATATCAAAGGCCATGAGCTAACCCCAAAGTTTGAGCTAGTTCACTGGAACCTATACCTCAGTGTTGTAAAGGACACTCTATTACTATGTTAGTTAAACTAGTGAGAGGGTTGAGTTTTCTAGTTAAGAACAGATATAAAGTACAGTAGCTGGACAAGTTCTGCAGACTAAAGCAGGAGTAATCCATCTACACCATATACTGTGCCCAAGTCTTAAGTGCAATGCTTATGTAAATGTCCTGATTCCCTTGTCTACATATTTCGTTCCCAACATCATATGTACTTAAGGAAAAACTAAGGAAGTTTGTACAGTATAAGAATTGCATATTATCACCATACTGTACATATTATACAAACTTGACTTACCTTGTTGGGCCAACAGGGCTGCCTCTTCTCTTTTGCTCCTCTTCACTGATGTCAATCCATGTAAAGTGTCCACTCCATGTAAATCCACCAACCTAACAAGGAAAAACATAAGATTTCAAACAACCAACTCGGTGATAAAATAATTTTTAACTCCCATAAATAATGTATCGTGGACATTATTGATATTTAATGTACTGTATCTGAATAGAGCCTCATGTTTTACTAAATACTCTACATCTAGTTTTTCTTTTACATATACACAGAGTTGTAAAGCAACAAAGGAAATTTAATTGAGTACTGTACTCGAGTAACATTTTTTAGTACAGTACAGTGGTCCCTAAGTTAACGAGCGCCTCGGTTAACGAGCTGCCTCCCATAAGATTCTTAAATTCCGTTAACGAGCAACCCCTCGGTTAACGAGTTTCTTACAAGCCGACCTCAACATGTTTTCGCTTGCACTGGCTGGTCAACCAGCTGTAGTATTAGTCCACCAATACATAAATCGGCTCTAGGGCTTAAATTCCTTACTATTTTAGTATATATCAAGAAGTTTATACTATTCAATAATTTTAAAAGTTTAATATTCAATTTTTTAGTCATTTTAACAATTATTGAACATAATTGAAGGTAAAGTGACTAGTTTAATGCGCGGCATCCAGCCTCTTAACACAACAAACAGGCGTTAGTCTCTCTCTGTTTTCACTGGGGGTAACATCTTGCTTGAGACTCTCTTCAACTAAACGCTTTTTTTCTGTGTTTCCAAGCAAATTATTGGTCATTTTGAAATTTATTTTACATATTGACAATATATAGCGCAGTGCAGTGTTATTTTAAAGAAAATATTCTTTATTTACAACAAGTTTAACTTTGAAAAACACGTGTTGACATTGTTTGAATCCAGCATGGGGCCTAAGAGATCACGAAAAGCTATTTCAATCCAAACCAAGCAGGAAATCATAAAAAAACATGAACAAGGCATTAGAACAAATGTGCTTAGCAAAGAATATGGCATGTCGACATCAACTGTGTCGACAATTCTTGCACAGAAAGACAAATTTAAAGAAGTGAAAGTGAGAGACAAATCTACAAGAGTGTTTAAAAGTAGATCCCTAATCGCAGAAACTGAGAGGTTACTTATCATCTGGATTAGGGAAAAACAGATGAAAGGTGATTCAGTTTCTACTGAATTCATTTGTGAAAGAGCCAGGGAGATTTACGAACATTTAAAGGCAGATCAACCTGGTTCTTCAGGCACAGAATTTGAAGATTTTCGGGCCAGCAAAGGCTGGTTCGAAAAATTTAAGAAAAGAAGTGACATTTTCAGTGTTGTTAGGCATGGTGAAGCTGCTAGTGCTGATAAAGAAGGGGCAGCAAAGTTTTTAGATGAATTTAAAAAACTGATGGAAGAAGAAAATTATCTTCCACAGTAAGTGTTCAATGTGGACGAAACTGGGCTGTTCTGGAAAAAGATGCCCAAAAGAACATTCATCACCAAAGATGAAGCCTCTTTACCTGGGCATAAACCCATGAAAGACCGTCTCACTCTATTGCTTGGTGCCAATGCTTCAGGGGATTTCCGACTGAAGCCTATGCTTGTCTACCACTCTGAAAACCCCAGGGTGTTCAAGCAACAGAAAGTGGTAAGAACAAAGCTTGGAGTTTATTGGAAGTCCAACCGTAAGGCATGGGTGACAAGACAGCTCTTTTATGAATGGGCTGTTGATGTGTTTTGCCCTTCTGTCAAGAGCTACCTAACCACCAATAAACTCCCTTTAAAGGCTCTTCTCCTCATGGATAATGCTCCTGGTCATGACCCTGACCTTGCCAGCAATTTGGAGTATCAATTTGACTTTGTGAAAGTGTTGTTTTTGCCTCCAAACACTACATCAATCATACAGCCAATGGACCAGAATGTGATCAGCAACTTCAAGAAGTTGTACATGAAGAAAATGTTTAGGAGGTGTCATCAGGCAACTTCCAATGATCCTGAACTAACACTGAAACAGTTCTGGAAGACACAATTCAACATCCTGGAGGCTGTAAAATTGATTGTGTCATCATGGCAAGAAGTCTCCACTAGATCCCTCAATTCTTCATGGAAAGCACTGTGGCCATCAGTAGTCCATGATTTTGAGGGATTTGAGGAAGAAACAGAGTTGGACCAGGAGATTATGTCCATTGGTCAGTCATTGGGCCTTGAAGTGGAGGAGGAGGATGTGGAAGAGCTTGTGATGTCTCATGAGGAGGAACTTACTCCTGATGACTTGAAGCAACTGGATGAGATGTTACAGGTAGAGGCTGACAGTGGTGAGGAGGAAATTGAAAGTGATGACCATATGTCAGCTAAACAGTTGAAAGATGTGATTTACTACTGGGAGAAGTTCAGGGAACTGGCTTCAAAGCACCCAGAAGTGGAAAAACTGAACTAACTTTGTGTCATGTTGAGGACTCAGTGGTCTCCTTCTTTAAACATAAGTTAATGGTGTGGAGGACAGATGCCCCACAGACCACAATTGACACTTTCTTCAGTAAAAGGCAGAGGGAACAAGATGCTATCCCTCAGCCTTCAACTTCAAGAAGGAGAGAGGATGTTCATGGTGGAGAATCTGTCAGTCCAAAGGTTCCTGACATTTTCATGGAAGGTGACTCACCTTCCAAGAAGCAGTAAAATGCTTCTCCTCCACCTCCACTTCCTTCTCTTCTCCCTTCTCCTCCTCCACCTCCCACTTCAAATGCACATCATCATCATCATCATCATCCAGGAGCCTTCTACATACACACCTAAAAGTAAGTGAACTTTTCTACCATTTTTGTTGAATTTAGGCAATTTTCGGTGAGCTGGAACCAATTACCCAAAAACCCATTGAAACAATGGTTTCGGTTAACGAGATTTTCGGTTAACGAGCAACCTGCTGGAACGGATTGTGCTCGTTAACCGAGGGACCACTGTTTTACTTTTTAAAAAGTACAGTACTCAAAATTTTCAGTACTTTTACTTAAGTATGGTTTTCTAATACTTTTACTCAAATACAATTTAAAAAATTAAATAAAAATTGTTAGGCATTACATGCCCCAAACAATAAATATAAATATCCAATCACAGGACACAGGACAAACTTGGAAGCAAACCAATAACAAGTGTTTCCTCACATATGGACAAATCACATGCATTCTTTCATATCATTTCATCTATGTACCCAAGCAATGAACACAGAGTTCAAGCGCCCAAGCTGCCCATTCTGCCATTTCCTTGTTTGGTGATACGGAGGCAACAATCATCCACAAACTCCACAACTGAAAGGGCTTGATAGCCCTGGCATGCCCAGGTTGTGGAATGGAGCTATTGAGGTCTTTCCCAGCATTATGTGACCTATCTCTCAAGCTTAACACCCAACTACCTGCATCTGCTGCTTCTGAGTATCTGTTATCGTGTTAGGCTTATTCAGTGATATCCCCATTAGCTGGAACAGTTGGTGCAGAGCACTTCTGGGGATTAGAGATTTCTGGGTAACGAGACGAATTTCTCAAACCCGGAAAAATTCCTTATCCCCAGAACCTTTTCCAGTTACTGGGAAAAGTTTCAGAGTGTCTAAACTAAACATCTTGCACAGACGGACACTAGCCCACTTTCCCAGAACGTTTCTTGGTGCTGGAGATGCTTTCCTAGAGTCTAAACTATAATAATCCAGAATAGTTTATCTAAAAGTTTGGTTAAATAAATTTATTTTAAAAATAAAAAATCGATAGGATATGGGTGTGAATGAAGCTGTGTGTTACAGCAAAGACTGTTATTTTCCACTCCCATGAAGCTATGGGGGATAAGTGGGTCTCGTGTAAATGACCTGATGCAAAGTAAGGTGGAGGTAGGATGAGGGACTAGTGGTTTCATATTACTGACCTGATGGAATGTCAGGTCACCCTTTCTTGGCTGGAGGATTAGTGGGTCTCATGACCTGAAGATGTCTTGAATAAACATGGAACTTAAAGTATTTTTAGGGAGATTGTGATAAGTACAGATATAAGTATAAACGAGCAAAGTTGTATCCCTTCAACATTACGTTACATAACATTTTAAAATATGGAGTAAGAAGCAGAAAGGTGTGGGTAATTGGAGACATGGAGTGGAAATGAGTGTTACCAAGCGCTCATCAACAGCTGATATTTAACTCGCTACCATGCAGTCACACACACACACACAGATGTGTCATACAATAAGACCTTCACTCCTTATGCTTGCTGTCTTAATTCCCTTGTTGGGTGTGTGTGTGTGTGAGGGGTGGTGATGGTGTGGGTGATGTAGAAGCACGAGGGTGGTGTTGGATGTGTGTGTGGGTGATGTAGAAGCACGAGGGTGGTGTTGGATGTGTGTGTGGGTGATGTAGAAGCACGAGGGTGGTGTTGGATGTGTGTGTGGGTGATGTAGAAGCACGAGGGTGGTGTTGGATGTGTGTGTGGGTGATGTAAGGGCGTGTGTGGGTGGTTGTTGGAGGGTGTGTGTGTGTGATGTAGGGGTGTATGTGTGATGTGTGGGTGGTGTTGGTGTGTGTTGATGGAAGCTAACTTTGGGGGGGGGGGGGGTGTGTAGGCATGGTCAGCCCCCTCCTCCTCACTCACGCGCAGCTAATTGTGATAGGGAGATGAATTTGATACTATAATGATCCTTAATAAATTATCTATGAAATATTTCCAATAAAATATCCTGACTTGATTTAGCAGAATATAGTTTGCATTGCTGGATTTCTTGAAAGATAGTGATTAGTTTGAGTATAAACATCCCATAGTTTGCATTAGACTAAAAAAAATTAGTAATTAACATATACATTTGAGTACAGGTTGTGATAATTTATGTGGTTGCTCAGAAGTTGTGGTTGCAGTTTCGAAGATTCGTGACATCATTATTGTGTAATGCGTCTCCATATGCCCATGTAACTACTTCTACTTAAGAAACAAAGTCCAGTACTTTTTACAACTCTGTATATATAGTACAGTATATGAATTTTTATGAATTTTAGTACAAGAATTATCATAGACATGAAAACTGATTCAGAAAGAAACATCATTACTGTATTAAAGTAATACAAGATGAGGAATTACAACAACAACAACTAAAATTCAAGCCCATGATTATTTACTACAGCGTATAGACAATACTGTACTGATAATATTAATTAATTTCAATTTCTTAAAATTTATATACTAAAAATAAAAATAATAATACAGTAATAATAATAATAATAATAATAATAATAATAATAATAATAATAATAATAATAATACAGTACAGTGTACAGTACAGTACAGGATGCCCTTAAAACTCGTGGGGGTTAGGTTCTCAAAATGGCCACAAATAGCCAAATCTGGGAATAATTTGCTGACCTGGGTGTTACATTATTAGTCGTGTGCAAAGAAATGTATATTCCCTTTATGTGTTTGCCCCCAGGGCAATTATTTCTTTTACCTGTATTGTATATATGTGTGTGTGTGTGTGTAGACACACACACACACACACACACTACACACATACCTTTATATATACAATACCTACAGGTAAAAGAAATTACTGTCTCTAGAACAGATGGTTCCCTGTCCTGGCTGCAAAAATGCCAGCAACTTTAAAACTACCCTTAAACATTCTTGGGTACATCCAGGGTGTCATCCATGAATAATCGAGGTCCGCAAATTAAAAATTTGTGAATTGCCAGGGCATGCTGTACTATACATGTGCGAGTAAGTACTGAAGTGGTGTACATGCAATATTATGTAAGCAATTCATGCAATGACAGCTGAATAATTAATTAATATGACAAATAAAATATGACATTATTTTGTATTTAGTAAACCTTTGTTATTCGGCGGGGTTAGGTTCCAAGGAATGGCGGAAAATGGGCAAAACATGCGAATAGCAACTTATACTACCTTAGTGCACTACAGTATACCTATATCAAATAACAGACCAGCCGTGGCAGCACTCATTCCCTCTTTTAACTTTTCTAATCATTCAACTTTCTTTGTCAGGGTCATCACTGACTTTTGCCTTTTACATTTCACTCCACTAGCATTACTAGCACTGACAGTAGGCAGTCTTTTAGGGTCTATTTCACACAGAAACACTTAAGTTTTGAGAGTACAACATGAGTTGCTGCATCACAGGCAATGGTTGAGTGTTAACAGAGGAGGGAAAGGAGACGCTGCAGGCACATGGGGTGACTCGTTGCTCTGTGGGAAAAGGCTTGCAAGCTAGCCTCCATCTGCTTACGGTACTGTGAATCGTCGAAATCGCAAATTGCAAACCCGTAAATGGCAAGGGTCTACTGTACAGTATAGTCCTCATTTACGCGGTCAATTGAACCCGTGGAGGTCCGAGTAAAACGAGAAACGCATAAACGAAATAACAGAACATATGGGATTAATTGAAATAGAGACTGGGCCGACCCCCAAACTACACTTTTTCTGACACAATAATACGTTGTAGTAAAAATAACATCTTAATTTTAAGATGGTATGCACACACAATTAATATTTAAGAGAAATATCAATAATATTAGATTTTTTAACACTTACAGTAGTAGAAAAGATGGCTGGGCACACGGGGATGGGGGGTTGGTTCCGAGGCAGAGGGCAGATTATTGGCCCTCACCTGTATCACTTGTATCACTATCCACCACAGAGGCTTGCAGGGCCTCTTTGTCAAATCCCTCAAAGTCCATATCCTCACTATCACCATCACTGACTTGGGCCGGCTGTGGTGGGTGGCAGGTGAAGAACTCGGTAATGTTTTGTTGACTGGGCGACCTTGTGCGCACCCTGCCCACGCCGCTTCCCGCGTAAATGATGGAATGAACCGTGTAAATAAAAATTGTCCGTCTGGCAAGGTACCGCGTAAATGACCAAACTCGTAAACCGAGACTATACTGTAGTACTGTACAACAGGGAGGTAAATACAGTAAGAACATGGGCAGAATATGAATACATCAGAGACCTTCTCCCACTACAGTGCTGTTTATAACACTCAGAGATTTAATCACCTTTTTCTGTTGACCGGGATTGCCATGTTTACAGCCAGAGTTTTAACAAATTTGAGTCACGGAGGACACCGCACTGCAGCACTCGGCAGGGAAGTGTGGCAGTAAAATTAACTTATAATTTTGGACTTGCTCTGTAGTTATTTTACTGCATACTTAAAATTTACACAAATATACTGCTGACGAAATTACCTGGAGATGAATTGTCCTTCAATCACTGGCCAGATGAAAGATTTCCAGAATAAAAAAAAACTAAAAAAAACTAGATTCTATAAAGAAACTTTTTAAGTTTAACATCTTTGTTCTATATATAATATTTCTTGCTTATTGAGCTCAATGTTTCTGTAGTAACTCATTGATTTATTGTTGAAAATCATAAAGATGACAGAACACCAATACATAGAGGTAACTATGATAAGTCTTTGGTATAATTCTGATGATCAATAATTAATTATTTACTTACAGTATATTTGTCTAGCATTTAAAAAAGTGTGCCTCAAGTAAATGCACTATACCTGTATTTGTCCATTCACTCTTAACTGCTCTGATATCACCACAGGTTATATATACAGTGTTCCAGTACTGTATGTATTCTTAATCACATATTTATATACAAGCAATGAAAAATAATATAAATTAAAGCTTATACAGAATACAAATAAACTATACATTTTGAAAACAATCCACGCACAGTTACAATATAAAGTACACTCCCATGACTAATAACTGATGAGGGACAAATTAGAAGACAAGAAATTCAGAAACATGTAGAGAAAAACCTTTCCTGTTACCTTAACAAGCATTAAAAATGCCTAACATGCTCAAGGCTGTCATCAAACTAATAAAGAGTACTACAAGAGTATACTGTATTAGTCAAGTACAGAAATACTGTAACAAGCTTTTACAAATAAAAAGCAAAGCATCATACAGTACTGTATAAAACTCATAATAATAAGCTAATACTATCAAGATAATTATTTTTCCATGCTGCATACAGTATGTACAGGGGTATATTCACAGAATTAGTCATGCTTATGATCCCCTGTACTGTATTTCATACCACACTACCTGGAAATATCGTCCATTGCCGTGGTAATACTCAAGAGTCTTGTCATCAACAACATCAATGATGGGAACAAGAACAGCTGATCGACTTTCCTTTATTCTCTGAAGCAATGGTTCCATCCTGAAATATTTATTCCTTTCATTCTTTGCTCAATAGTATATCAAGCCTGAAGGTCATTAAGATAGTTTGGTACTGTGCAGTCATCCACCTGAAGATCTGAAGATGCTCAGGAGGCCCAGGGAAACTTCATAATATTGTACAGTACTCACCATTACAAAATTAAGAGAGGGAATAATATGTGTTTCCTGTTTAATTTTATCACTAGATATCACCTCCAAGAGATACTGCTGGGAATAGAATATATTCCACCAAAGAATATTTATACTGTATATACTTTAGCATTTCCCCATCTGACTTCTGGCAAAAGCAAGTTTTACACCAAAAGAAATAAAATTGTATTGCATCTTCAAACATCTTACAAACTCTGTAAAGTAAAACAGTATCATGGTTAGACTGCACTTTATTCAACCAAACAGCACATACCCTAATATGGTTTCCAAAGGAAAAATACTGAAGTGATTCAGCTGAAATAACCTCTATTACAGGTGTTAGCACCACATCCCTTTTCTCCTTCACACGTAAGAGTAGAGGCTCCATCCTAAGAGATATTAAATAAAAGGTATATGGAACATGCAGTCAGTTATTGAGTTATACAAAAGAAATTAGTTATTTCCTAGTATATCTATTTTACTATTAGCTACTGTATTTTGAATTTATTTAATAATCCAAATAAACAAAGACTGATGTATGAAATCTCATTTTCTGGATTGCAGATTTATTACCTGCAACACTCCCTGGCAAACCCTGCCTTGTCCAAGGGATAATCTGCACTTTGAGGCAGAGTAACTGTCTTGTTGAATCAAGTGTAAATTGTTGCTTAAACAACTACTGTACCTGAACAGAACCAGAATTTATGATCAAGCTCCAACTCTGATCCAGCTGTGCTTTGAGAAGCCCACAAGTCAACAGGTATACTGGGATGAACCCTGTGGTGGAAGCCTACACAAACACTGAAGAAAAAAAAACATACTGGAACCATCAAATTAGGATTAGAGTTTACTTCATAGAACCTGGTCCTGCAAGGCAACTAGGTAACTATTCAAGCAGCAACTTACACTGATCTAACAGTCTCCCTGCCTTATAATACACAGATGCTTTAGGAAAAATAAGACTTACAGTCAGATCATATATTACTTTTACCCCTTGGTTCAATGGATTTCAAACTGAACACCATCTCTCATGTTGTCTCAATTGAGTTTGGTAACATAACTGACATTTTCCTTGTCCTTGTTTTTCAAAATATTCAAATCATACAATTTTTTGAAACATAAAATTACACAGAAAAGAAAATTGCAATATGACAAGTGATGGGAATGATGTCACTAGTTGCTCCACATGTCCCATTACAGTACTGTATAAGGAAAGCAGGGTTACCAATGTGAAGCCAGATGCAAGAGCTTTGTACTGAATTTTTCACAGGTTTGTCATAATGTTCAACACTGAAGTGGTAAATACAATGACACAAAAATGCTCCTTCAACTCTGTAAGTCTCTCATACATCCCTATCTGACCTACTGTATACTGTACTGGGATAAATATCATCCCTTGAAAAGGTGCAACACAGTGACAAAGATTATTCCTCAACAATATTAATCTTGATTATCCAAATAGACTGAGGGGCTTAGGATTGACAACTCTTCAAAAAAAAAAAACAATAAAACTGATCTTAAAGAGTCATTAAAAATCTTGAAAGGGATGAAAGATGTAAACCCAGAAATATTTTTCCTGAATATGTACCACTAACACAAGAGGACACACCTTCAAGCTCACCAAGGTGTCATGCAGAACAAATGTCTGGTAATACTTCTTCATGCAGAGGGTAATAAAACTGTGGAACAGTCTAAACCAGCAACAGCCGTGGAAGCAAGAACATTACCGAGTTTTAAAATAGCCCTTAACAAAACTATCAAGAAATATGGAGGGGGGGGTCCCAAACATGCCACCAACCTCCTTTCCCCATCTTGGCCACCTCTAGGTGGGGGTGGCCATGAAGTAAATTAGATAAATATCCACCTGGGTAAGGCAGACTCTGTCTAGAGGTGTTTTGGTGGAATCTGTTCATAGGTCACTAGTTGTATGACACAGAAATAAAGCCTGCATCATTCTCAGATGCAGAACTGTAAAATCCAACCATTTGAGCCACCCTTGAGAAAAACGTGCTCATGGATGGACACATGGACAGTGGAGACTGCCTACTTTTATATCGTATCCTCCAGAAGTCAGAGAATATTAGGAGACAATAATGTATATTTGATCATAACATCTCATTTATCCTTTAAAATTTTATCAGTGTTCAATATAGCTACAGCACCAAAGGCAAATCAGAAAAAATACATCACAGGATGAAATTCTATTGACATTGCTATATTTATATATTTCATTAAGCAATGTATTAGTTTCAATAATAATGATGTCATAACTAGAGGTCACACTTCCACAAAGTAATGTTAGAGAGGAAAGATATGTACAGGTAACTGGATTTTTGCAAAGCATGACAAATATATATAAGATATAGTACCTGTAGTGCTGTATGTTTTCTATATTTTATTAATTATTCTACTAAAGCCAATCTATTCAGTACACTCATCCTTTAATTTAATAATGGTATGCATTCTTGAAAACCATTCTTAAACAAAAAAAATTTAAATAAAAAACATTTTCCCAATGACTTCCATTATACTACATAATGGGAAATACATTCATACAAAAAAATCTCCCCCAGAATTCAAAAGGAGGATTATATTATGAAAATTCACTAGTGCACGTGAGAGATTAAAGAGATACTGGGTATGTTTGTGAACCAAACACTGAATGTATGAAACATAAGAGTGGAAATGATAAGAAACTCAAGGTAAAGGAAAACAGTCAGTGTCCACCAGATTTAGATTTTGCCAAAAAGCTAAATTCCAACATCTATAATAATTTAATAACTAATGAAAACTTTAGGAACTGCAACCAGTACAAAAGAGGGCCAGAATACATTATGAAACACCATAGTAAATGCTTGAGAAAAATACACTACTGTACATACAGTACAGTACTTGTAAAACAAATTTGCAACACTAGGGATAACTCAACTCTTGCTCTAACAGTTGATATTTGAGCTGTGGACTACTTACACCATTCCAGTTGTACAATCCAGTACAGTACAGTATTCAATTTGGTCAACAGTGGTATTGTACTGTATATTATACAAATACATACCTGTACTGTATATATACAAATTATCTTGTGTACGTACAGTACAGGTATATTATAAAACAATCAAGATGGGGTATTGTATAAAAAGTACCCCCCAAAATCCTAAGAAAATTTATAACTACGTACTGTATGAGTTTTGTTTTACAACAGATGTTCATAAGCTGAAGGGTGAGTGTACACCAGTGCTTCCCTAGACATGTCACATACAGATTTAAAATGTTTAATCGAGCTTAAAAAAAAAGGCTATGGTGAGTGAAAGTGGGTCCGATAGGCATGACTACCCATTAGGGACAGCATTGATACATACAGCATACTGTACTGTACTAAGCCCCAACTATACAATGAGACAGCATGGCTAGCAATGCAATTGACTGCCTTCACTTCTCTAACTTACAAAGTTAGGTACGGTACCCATTTACAGTTGGGTGGCCCGAGAGTCCCTCAGGATTGAACCAACAACATTTAGGAAAGGAGGCGAGGGCTGTATCCACATAACCAATAAACTCCAAGACGAGCAAACAAATACAATTTATTTTCTATGTCCCATGTGTTCTATTCAAAATAACACATGAGACATCCTACAAATTTTAGGGATAATTAACCAAAGTCAACTTAAAATCTGGGACAGCCTCTCCACAATAAGGCAATACTGTAATTTGGTTGGAGTTCAAAGCAATTGAGATGTTATTTGGATACAGTGGATTTAATTAAAACGACTAAGAATATAGAATCTTTGGTCCCATTTAACTACCAGTACAGTACTCTATAAACATAATGATCTGTCATCTGAAATACAGTATGTCCAGTACGGTAAAATATTTGAAATTGTAATCAACAATTTTTTAAGCATCAAAACATGAAGGTTTTTTAACACATAAAGGACATTAAACACATACCATTTTTCATTGGCTTCACAGTGAGAGTCGAGAAAGATGAGCACATCCCCTGTAGCCACCCGAGCTCCGGCTAATCTGGCACGAATAAGGCCGTGGCGTTCCTTTAGTCTCACAAGCTTCACCAAGGACGGAAGACGGTACTTCAGATATAACTCCAGTTTTTCACCAAGCTCAACTGTAGATGTTATTGAGAAAATATTATTACAATTCATCCTATATACTGAATATAGATAACAGATTACTGTATAGTACTGTACTTACTCTATTATACATGTGTGATAACTAAACTTTAAAACTAATAAAATAATATACTGTACACTATTAACATCTTAATCTAGTGACCATACCTGAAATTGGCAGACACACACCCCCACTAGAGGTCACAACTCATGAAGCCACAAATCCAGAAAATTGTGAGGACAAACTTTTTTTGAATGAGAATTGTAAACTCTTGGAACAATCTGCCAGAGAGTGTAGTGACATCACCAACTGTGAGCTCTTTCATGAACAGACCTGACCAAGACTGGTGCAAGTACAGATACATCCTGGAGCCAGTACATGCCGAGTACAGTACTTGCCACCCATGTACAGTACCATAACAGAGATGTGACCGACCACCCAAGCAGCTAATGAACTGATCAGTTGTGAGGAGGATAAAAGTAATATTGTAATCATACATTCAGACAACATAGTTGCAAATTAGGTCACACTGCATAAGAAAACCCACAAACTTGTGATGCAAGAAAAGCAATCACAGTTAAATGGGAAGGTGCACCATATTCACCAGATTTAAATTATTTTGTGTTAATGAATACCAGGAGATAATCATACCCAAGATAATTTGAATAAATAATCAGTTTTACTTGCCATACAGATCTTAAAATGCTGCAAAACTAATCCCTAGTCCCACAACCAAAACAGTATAAATCAATCCCAAAATTCCCAAAGTACCTTAAAACTATTTTGGCATCATGTAAGCCATCCAAGCTAGTTGTATGATGGCTTAGTTTCTTTCAGGAATGAAAAATACAGTATTTATAGATAGAAAAATATCATTTAATTTTCCCAAGTTATTAAACCATCATTAAACTATTTTGAATGACACAATGTACTTGTTATCAGTATTCTTCTGTGTAAATGTTAACCGGTACTGTACGGTATATGGATTACACTGCGTCATACTGTGATAGGATTTTAGGGGCATACATGTATTAGGAGATTTGGGGAACATTTATGGGTAACCCTGGAGCAGATGGCTAACAAGAGAACTCATAAGTTTTGTTCATTTTTTTCCACAGATGTTGTCTGTATGATAGTACATACAGTACAGAAATAAAAATAATATTGCAATGCACAAAACCTAATAGAACCTGACCTAAGCAACCCAAGAAACTGCAATGAGACGAAATCTCACAAGAAGAAGATTACATATAGGTAGAATATTGATAGTATAAGAGTATAAAAGAGAGGAAGATTTTGGTAGCGTGGCCGTGATAGATATTTACACTTATCTTATCTTATACGTCAATACACATCTATTACGTCTTAAGGGCGACTTCTCAAACACCACTTCGTTACAACTCTTTATTAATTACAAACATGACATGGACACATTAATAACACCTTCTATTGAAGTTACTAGGACATTATGTTTACGTTACTAGGACATCATATTAAGTTACTAGACACTGATTCTCGGACACGAACATGAAATGAATACACTTCCCACGTAAGTAACTCATCCTATGGAAAGCTCTGACAAAAACTCATGTGACCTGGGGAAGGCCTAGCAGGGAGACTGCTTAGCTGGAACACTGGTGTCGGGAGGGCGACTGCTTAGCTGGGACACCGGAGGGAAGTCGGGGAGGGAAGTCCTGCATGACTCTCCTCCCGTGAGCGGGACTCGGCTGTGGTGGACCTCCTCCTCCGATCCCTGTGTGTCTCTCTGTCTCTCTCTCCCGAGGGAGGACTAGGACGTCCTATATATTGGGAGGCGAGCCGTCAGGTTGAGCTGATCGGGGGGGGCGGCGAAGGGTCTCCTTACATTTGCCCTCGCTAATGTAGGGTCAGGTCTGGACTTCTTCTGCGGTGTAGGCCATTGTGTATATTGGGAGAGAGTCGGCCGGTGCCCTCTTACATGTGTGACATGGGAGGGGAGCCTGGCCGACCTATAACCCTTGGTCAGCCGCGAGTCACCCTACACTTTTGACCCCCCTAATGTCGGGTCAAGTCTGGACTGTTTCCGAGATGTAAGCTGTGGTCTGACAACCCATCACTACAAAACCTACCAAACCTTACCCCCCCGCCCAAGTTAAACACAAAGTACAGTAATTACTTTGATATCTGGTACCAATGAAAGCAACTTTCTTGAAATGGTATGGTGTATTTTTTTCTTTTCTTGGGACGTGAGAGTACGCTCAGACCGAATGAGTTGTTTGCTGCACGGAAACAAACAGAGTGAACGACAATGCATGAAGACATGACAGATTTTTTTGAGGAATATTTACAGTAAATATTTAACTTCTTCACATACAAAGTATGTAGAAACACCATTTTAGTGTCATGTGAGCAGTTTTTCAACGTGTTTTACCCTGCAATTTCCCTCATCCTTCATACCATGCCCACTACAGATGATTTATGTTCACCGAGAGAAAAAAAAAAAAATAAATAAACAAAAACTGATAACTAATATAAAAAGTTGTATCATTCTTATTACTATCATCCCAAGAACATTTGTAGAAAAAAATAAATGAAATTAAACAACTTCTGGTGTTGGCCGTCTGCCTCCGTATTATCCTTTTGGGTTTTGTCACACCACAACTGAGCCACCCACTTGTACAGTAAATGGTGGTACAGTACAGCAGTTTGTTTATACATTAACAAAGTTACAGATGTGGATAAGATGCCTGAACAAGCTTACTGACCCACCGCCGATTTTTCATTGAAAACGAATTAAAAAATGATGCAATTTCACTGTTTTACAGTGAACACTGTCATAGTTTTGGCAAATGTGTTAAAAAGTGGTTATTTTTAAATTAAACCTCACCTAACCTTTGTTGATAAGAAAAACAAGTGGCAGAAGCACTATTAGAAGACCTCACCAACCTAACCTAAGAAACCTACCAAACCTAGCTGCGAGGTTCCACCCTTCGGACCCACCAACATATTAAATAGAAAGAACTTTCTATGATATGATGTAATTTTACGTCTTTTGTGGACATGAGAGCAGCTGCCAGGACAATGTAGTTCATAAAAAAAACACTGGCAACTGGCATCGCACGGAGATGACTGACTGTGTACCGCAGCATCACCGCCGAGAAAGACAAAGTAGTGCGCGTCTAGTCGCCTAATTATCTACCAAAGGAAGCAATTTCCCCCCAAAATGATCATCAAATCAAAACTGACTGATGAAAATATAGTAAGAATATAAACATTAAAGCAAATAACATGTCGGAGGGTTAGTCGTCAAAATTTGCCGTTTCTTCATGTTGTGACCAAAGTACTGACCTCTATCGGAGAAGTCGTCGACAAGGATGATCTCCTTGAGGTAACGGGCAGGGGAGCGGGTGAGGACAGACCAGATGGTCCTGAGGAGGGGACTCCATGCCTCATTAGTGAAGATGATGATCACTGAGGCTGAGGGCAGTTCATTGCTGTAGTGCACCTCCTTGCATCTGGGGGTAAAAAGGAAAATTAACATGAGTAAACTGCATGTCTTGAACAAGGTGATCAGATATTCCTATTTGGGTGGGACTGTCTGGATTACCTGTATTCACACACACACACACACACACACACACACAAAAATGTATAATTATAGATTATCTGTAGAAAATTTAAATTGCCTCGTAGCCGCAAGACTGTTCACCAGTCCCAGTGTCCTCTATAAATAGTTTTCGATGACGTCACGACATCCAGATAGTCAATAATCTTTGAACCATACATATTTGCATATTACAGTACGTACAGTAGTATTTGACAATATTTAAAATTCTGGATTAGAGTTTTTATTTGAAATTCTTGTAGGTGGCTTTTACGTTTTTGAGACTAACATGATACCTTGGACAAGTGAGTAGGCAGACCTAAGATGACAACAAACCTCATACAGTAAAACCAAGTGGTCAAAGAAAGGTGCTACTATTGCATGCTGTCCACAAAGATATCTTTAGCATACCCTAACCTAGGTAATTATTGACGACTGACCAGCAGCCAATTTTTCATTGAAAACGATTATAAAAAAGCCACAATTTCACTGTGTTTTATAGTGGACACCGTTGTAGTTTGTGCAAATGTGTTAAAAAGTGGTTAATTCTAAATTAATCCTCACCTTAGTTGATATAAAAAACAAAAACAAGCAGCTTAAGTGTTGTTAGAAGGACCTCACCAACCTAACCAAGCAAACCTACCTTACCTTACCTAATATCCTAGCTGGGGGCTCCGGACCCCGATATATTTACAGAAATAACTTACTATACAGTATGATATGGTGTAATTTAAATTTTTTTGTGGACATGAAAGCAGCCGAACGGTTCATAAGCATACACTGAGCATCAGTGTTGATGCGGCCCAGGCGGCAGAGTGTTTTGAAATACTGTACATCAATATGAATGGCTGTTTACATCCTGGGATGAGACGTCACTACCACATTACTGCTGAGAAGACAAAGTAGTGCATACCTAGGCACCTAATTAACTACCAAATGAACCATTTGCACAAGAAATGATTATCATATCAGAACTCACTGATAAAAATAAAGTAAGAAAATAAACAGCAAAACCGGTAACTCACCCACAGGTCAGTGATCAATATTAACCCTAACCTAATCTAGCCACCCTAAATAACTTGAAGACCCACGCTATAGTAGCACCCAAATAATATTATTAAGTGAAGAGACATTTATCTTAAAAAAAAAAAAAGCTTTAAATGTAAACATAATAAATATAAAAGTATCCAGATTATCACTACTAAAAGTTTGTCAACATATTTAACTGGCGCTATTTGTAGGTTCATGTGCCAATGCATCAAAGTCACCTAAGCATATTTTATGGGGTCCGACTAATTACCCAAATGTACCCAAATGTAGCCAAATATAGCCGGAATGAAGTCAAGTAATGGTCCTAGATGA